CATCATCCATCCATCATCATCCATCCATCCAATCCATCATCATCCATCCATCCATCCATCCATCATCCATCCATCCATCCATCATCCATCCATCATCCATCCATCATCATCCATCCATCCAATCCATCATCATCCATCCATCCATCCATCCATCATCCATCCATCCATCCATCATCCATCCATCATCCATCCATCATCATCCATCCATCCAATCCATCATCATCCATCCATCCATCATCCATCATCATTCATCCATCCATCCATCATCCATCCATCCATCATCCATCCATCCATCATCCATCATCCATCCATCCATCCATCATCCATCTTATACCTGTTGTTCCAGAGTCAGGCCTGCCAGCAGTTTGATCTGGATTGTCCAAAACCCTGAGCTACTTGAACTGTTCCTGTTGAGTCTTTGATTCTAATGATGGAACAACTGAAAGCCTTCTTATTAACCATTGTCTAAAATAAGACATTTCCAATAAACACATGAACTGACTTTGGTTTGACATAGTTCTCCTTCCTGGTTCTGTGTTTTCAGAATAAGGAGAAGGAGCGTCTAAAGGAACGTGAGAAAGAGGCACGAGAACGGGAGGCCCGCTCCAGCAATGGACACCTGTTTACCTCCCTGAGTGTGTCGGCCACAACGCTGTGCTCATCCTGCAACAGAAGCATCACGGCCAAGGAGGCACTCAGCTGTCCAGGTAAGCACACCTGTCGAGTGCCCTGTACTACAGAGCCATATTCGACGTCTAAGGTTCAGTTTGGGATTTTCAGTGCCACAGAGCTGGATCACCTTTTTTACTTGGGCTTGTTATCATGATTCTGGAAACCTAACCTGCTCTGCACAATATTCATTTCATTAAAGCATCATTTACATTATTTACCTGTTACTACTCTGCAGGTACCAAACTGTATTCTGCTACCTCAGAACCTTCCATTGTGAAGCAGCAGGATGCTCCTGCACGTTGTTTGTTAGGATTTATTATTGATTAAAGACTAGATCAACACAACCTGAGTTGTTTGTCTGTACAGATGGTGTGTTAATCTGACCTTTATGATGAACAGATGAACCCCCAGATTACCCCCCCCCACACACACACACATAAAAACACACTTAAGTTTGAACATATGTGTCCCCTTGACCCAGTTCTCTGGGTCCATCTGCAGCAGACAATCACAGGGCAGAAAAGCAAGGTTTCACACTAATGTGTGTTGTGTTCTCAGAAATAATGGATTCTGTCAGTTTGTGTGTGTGTGTGTGTGTGGTGGGGGGTGGGGGTCCCCCGGGGGTCCCCCTGTTGCTGTAGAACCTTTTTGACCTCTCCAGGTTCTGCAGAGCTCCTTACAATGTTTCAAACTGACACAGTGTTTATTTTTTTATAATTTACATTTTATTTAGAGCAGCAGAGGAGCTGAAAGGCTACAAAGTTGATCCCTAAGATGTTCAGGTCCAAGAACCAGAACCTCTGTCTGATCTGAGTTTAGAAGCAGAAAGTTAAGAGTCATCCATGTTTTTATGTCTGGAAGACATGCTTGTAGTTTAATAACTGGTTGGATTCATCAGGTTTCATGGATAAATATAACTGAGTATCATCAGCGTAACAATGGACATTTATCCCATGCTGTTTAATAACTTTACCTAATGGAAGTTTATACAAAGTAAAGGGGATTGGTCTGTTAAAAAATAAGCAATGCTTGTTACCCTTTACCTGTTCAGGTCTAATACCAGTTAATAATGACATGTGAGTGTTTGAGTGAGCCATACAAAACCTTCCGGACACAGCTGTGGACTGATTAACTTTTTTTAATGTGCCTCTGACAGGCATCAGCTAAAATAGTGCTCAGAACCCAGAAACACATCAAGTAACAAACCTCTTCGCATCCTGACTCCACCTTATGACAAATGTTAAAGGGGGCAGGTTGTCTCTATACGGAGTCAAAATGTCAGACATTATTCCTCAGACTAATGTTTAATCACGGTTCTTATGTGTGTTGTTTTAAATCAGACATATATCCAACTAAAAGCCTCCTGAGTCTGTGAAACCCTGGTCAAGAGTCCCACAACCCAGTCTGCACATAAAATCATCATTTCAATTAGAGATATCCACATTATAAAAATATTTTACTGTTCACCTAATAAAAGTCTACACAATGTGTAGTGTTTTTAAAAGTCAGTAGTAAACAACCCCAAAAAATTTCTTCAGGTCCAAGCACTGAACCCTGAGGAACTCCATGACTTACTCTGGTGTAAGCAGATTCATTATTAACATGAACAAACTGAAATCTGTCAGATTCTATTATTTTTAGCTAAAGGACACTCTGCCAGGGGTAGGGGATTAAATCTTTGACCCTCCAGTTAGAAGACTGCCTTTCTACCATTGTTCCAAAGCTGTTTCCTGAACAGTCAGATTTGAACCTGTGACCTTGGTGCTCAGAGATGATGGTATGAACCAACCACTGTGCTGCCCCATCAATAAGAAGGATCTTTCATTTGTTCAGTCAGCCTGTTAGGGTCAGGGTTGGTTTGTAAAGTTCAGTCATTTATGGGGAACAGGGTCTGGTTGGGGTTGGCTTCATTTGTCTGACAAACACATTATGTGACCTCCAGGAAACTGTTCCTGCAGTGCTCCACAGTGTCTCAACATCATTTGATGTCACAGCTCCTTCTTTTGCAGCCAATCAGAGGACAGATAGTTCATTTACTGACAACATACCTGTCTGTCTTCCAGGATGTAATGTCACCATCCACAACCGCTGCAGAGACAGTCTGGCTAGCTGTGCCAAGATGAAGCAGAGGGTAACATCTGTCTGTCTGTCTGTTTACGAGTCTGTCCACCTGTCTGTGTACCAGTTACCTGTCTGTGTACCAGTTACCTGTCTATCTGACATTCTGTGTCCCTTTACCAGCAACAGAAACTGGCACTGGTGAGAAACAGTTCAGCTCTACAGAATGTCGCCTTGCGTACCAAGAGTGAGTTTGTCTACCTGTGTATGTGTGTCCCTTCTGAAACCTGTCTGTCTACAGGTTTATCCTTCTTCCTCCCTGCCAGTCTGTCTGTCTATCTGCCTTCCTGTCTGTCTGTCTGTCTGTCTGTCGTTCTGTCTGTCTGCCTGTCTNCTGTCTGTCTGTCTATCTGCCTTCCTGCCTGTCTGTCTGTCTGTCTGCCTGTCTGTCTGTCTATCTGCCTTCCTGCCTGTCTGTCTGTCTGTCTGTCTGTCTGTCTGTCTGTCTGCAGCTTCATCTTTGTTTTTGTCACCTCTTCAGCTCCGATGATGAAGGAGCGTCCGAGCTCAGCCATCTACCCTTCAGACTCTCTGCGTCAGTCTCTGCTCGGGTCCAGACGGGTTCGGTCCGGCCTCTCGCTCGCTAAAAGTGTTTCTACCAACAACATCGCTGGGTGAGTCTGAGCTGCGAGCTGATTGGCTGTATTTCACTCAGTGATAACGCTAGTCATGTATTCTGACTTCTCAGTGCTTCTGATGGTTGAGCATGGCTAAAACTGGGTTATTGTGTTTGGGAAAGAATGGGATTAATGGTAAATCAGTGGCAAGTTGCCATTAATTCATTTCTTCTATGAAGTTGCTGAACCTTGCATTGTACATGTGCCAACATCCCATTTTAAATTTTCAACTTCAAAACTCAAACTTAAAACTGTGTATATGGACAGAAGTTGTAATTAGGGATGCACGATATATCGGTATTAATATCGGTATCAGTCCGATATGTAAAACTGGGCTGAAATTAACGTCTGATATTGATTTTCCACTGTTTATCTTTGTGTTTGTGTTTTGGGAGGTGATTGGTTGAGCAGCATCTGTTTCATAATGCTAGTGGTATTGATGCTACATCCAGGAATAACTGAAGTAGAGCCATGTCAGAGGTCTGCTTGTTTATTTACGGTATCAAAAACAGACCCAAGTGTGTTTGTGTGTATTTGTATAATATAATTTGTGTGTTTGTGTGTGTATGTATAATATAATTTGTGTGTTTGTGTGTATATGTATAATATAATTTGTGTGTTTGTGTGTATATGTATAATATAATTTGTGTGTTTGTGTAATGTCAGTAAATATTGGTTATTGGCCATAACAGCAATAATTATACTGGATATCGATATTGGCTGAAATGTTCCTATCGGTGCATCCCTAGTTGTAATAACATGAAAGATAATCAGTTTGTGGTTTTATCAGTAATAATAGATGACTGGTTTCATTCATCACCTGTAAATAATTCCATTTTATTTATTTAGCATTTTTCAAGATACAAATCACAAAACACACAAAGATAGAACAAATCAAAGTAAAATATAAATAAAAGCTATAAGTTCCAAAGCAATCAGATGTAAACAAAAGTTTTCCAGATTACAATGTGAACAATGAGTCTTCAACTGTTTCCTAAATGAATCCATTGAGTTCCAGCAATGATTGCAAAGCTTCTTTAGTCTTTAGTCTTGATTTAGGGACAGGTAAGTCCTTGATCAGTGGATCTCAGGCTCCAGGTGGAGACTTACTATTTTAAAAGTTCAGAAATGTACAAAGGTGCACCAGCATGCAGAGCCTTAAAAGCCATTCTCAGGTTTTTAATGGTGGGTTTAAAACCATTGTCTGGAGCACCATGAGGAACCAAGATTTGTTACGGGTCAAAAATATGTCTTACTTGTCTGTCTCACAGGGGTATTGAGGACTCTGGAGGTCTCAGGAGGATGCTGTCCCAGTCCACAGAGTCTCTGAACTTCAGAAACAGAACTTTGTCCATGGAGTCCCTCACAGATGATGGTCTGTCAATCACTTTATTGATCCAGTACTGATTTTTCCACCATTATTATTATTATTATTATTATTATTATTATTCCTTCTTTAACAGAAGCACTTGTACTCTGAGAGCACGTATGAAGTGTAACAGTGACTCTAAGCCTATATGTACTTGTGTCTGGTTCTGGATTTGACTTCAGGTGTTCTGTGTGTAGGCCATCCATCGAGTTCATTACAAAGCTAAATATGCTAATGTTGAACCTTTCTTCATGTAATCCCACAGTTCTGAATGAATGAAAAGACAGGTATAAACTAGATCACGTGAGCAGTATTCAGATTAGTTTTAGTCTACAATCACTGAGGTGGATCATTAGCGTTATGGTTCTATAGAAACATGTTGTTGTTATTTATTGACAGAAAGTTGTGCCAATAATTCACATAAAGCTTTGTCTGTAGCTAACCTGTCAGCTGCTGCTCTCAGGTCATCATTTTATTTTTATTTGATTGATTTCTTTATTTGGATTCTTGTGCTGCGAGTTTATTGCTGTGAAGCCTGTGAGCAGCAGGCCCAGCTGACTGTTGATGCTGCTGCAGGTGACTGGTGGTGGAGCCCCCTGCTGGAGGAGCTGCAAACAGAGGGCAGCTGTGTCCACTCGGACAGCTGGAGCCTGGCTGTGGACGGCAACTTCCTGCAGAGCCTCCACAAAGATGTCATCAAGCAGCAGGACGTCATCTACGGTACGAAGACACACCTGGCTGGACATTTACCACAACTCTGAGCCAGGACGTCACGACAGTGAGGATGTCATCACTGTGAGGACGTCATCACTGTGAAGACGTCACGACTGTGAGGACGTCATCACTGTGAAGACGTCACGACTGTTAGGACGTCATCACTGTGAGGACGTCATCACTGTGAGGACGTCATCACTTTGAAGACGACATGACTGTGAGGACGTCATCACTTTGAAGACGACATGACTGTGAGGACGTCACGACTGTTAGGACGTCATCACTGTGAGGACGTCATCACTGTGAGGACGTCATCACTTTGAAGACGACATGACTGTGAAGACGTCACGACTGTGAGGACGTCATCACTGTGAGGACGTCACGACTGTGAGGACGTCATCACTGTGAGGACGTCACGACTGTGAGGACGTCATCACTTTGAAGACGACATGACTGTGAGGACGTCACGACTGTGAGGACGTCATCACTGTGAGGACGTCACGACTGTGAGGACGTCATCACTGTGAGGACGTCACAACTGTGAGGACGTCATCACTGTGAGGACGTCATCACTGTGAGGACGTCACGACAGTGAGGACGTCATCACTGTGAGGACGTCATCACTGTGAAGACGTCACGACTGTGAAGACGTCACGACTGTGAGGACGTCATCACTTTGAAGACTACATGACTGTGAGGACGTCATCACTGTGAGGACGTCACAACTGTGAGGACGTCATCACTGTGAGGACGTCATCACTGTGAGGACGTCACG